CTTTGCCGCTGACCTACTTGTGTCAGACCCTCCAGCGCTGCGAGCGCTCAGGGCCAAGGCTCTTTTCTTTATTTCCCTTCGCTGCCTCGCACAAGGGGGTCCTTGTCTGGGACCCCCAGGTGCTGCCACAATCCAAACGCTGAATTACAGAAGCCTGCGCCAGCCGGAGCAGAAAAGGGATGAGATCTGATCTCACCGTGAAGGTTTATTTCTGAGCCCATTCAATTGATTCCCTGTAGCAGAAAGTGGTTGACAGTCTTTGCTGGATGGCCGAGGGGCTTGGGAAGCAGCCACAGCCTTTCACTGGGAAGAAGAGCAGCTTGAATAGCTCTCAGGGAGCTCGGCAGCCACTTGGAGAAAGGGTGGGCTCTGTTTTGAAAGCAGCCGACAACCCCAGTTCAGGTTCCTTCACAGCCTTGGCCAAAGTCCCCCCTGGTCTGCAACCCGCAGGCAAAACTCTGAGAGAAACTCTGCTGCATTGGGCTTGCTCACTGTTATATTTGTTATTATATTCATTATTATATTGAATATAATAAATGCTAGTCTCACTTCTATAAGACTCCTACTTATAAGAGAAAAAGTCAGGCAAGGAAAGCTGTGTTATGCGCATTTTGGGACACAGGCCATGAAGGCATAAGGCCAATTTCAGTAGTAGATGTTTTGAATTTGGACCCACCTCACAGTTCAAAGTGAGAAGTGAGGGCTAAACTCTGGGGTTTTTAACCCACAAAATGAGGACCAAGGCTTTGTTTTGTGTAACAAAAATACAGACCAGGGATTGGGAAAAAAACCCCTTACCATCAAGGAACCAAAATCCTGGTTTACAACAAGCAACCTATGTCTCCTTGAGCTCTGCTTTTGTGAGATAGTCTGTAAAATAGGGCTAATGTGGCTAATGTCACTACACTGCATCACAGGGTGTTATGAGGATAAATTTAAGACGTATGGCAAGGTGAGCCCATCTCAAGCATTTGGGACGATGTTTGAGACAAATGGTACCACCTCTGTGCAGTGGGCTGTATGATCCCGCTATGAATGTGAGTGTGAGGAAAGAAGAAACCTTATGTGATACATAAAATAGGTAGCTCAATAATGTCATCAATCCAGAATTGCTAAAAAACTATACTAACACAAAGGCAATTTAGCCCAATTGGCAGTGAAACTTCCATCACAATAACTGTTTTCAAGGTGTTATGTAAGTTTGGGACTAAGATACAGGGGCTTTAAAATCATATTGCTAAAACAATATCACCCAGGCAGAAAGCCTGGGTCCCAAATAAAACTTAGCCCATTCTATTTTCCAGAGGGTCCAGACTGAAAAAAAAAAAAAAAAATATTGTGAAGCAAAAAAGACTTGTGACATCTTCAGAGTGCCAGCAGACGTGTGTTTCAAAGGGGGCTTTGTCATACAAGCATGTTTGATGAATCTCATATTGCTGCTAAGGAGTTCAAGCACACCACTGATGTTTGCAGGTCCTGTCCTTCACTACATGCTGTATAGGAGTCTCTGTGCCTTGTTCACACAAAGCCTAGATGCCTGCCAGGTCTGCCAGTATAAGCTGATGCTTTGGTTGATGAGACTCTGACTTCAGTTCCCCGATGATGAAGGAGAGGTCCACCTCACTCCCACCATACCTGCAGAGGAGATGTGGCGTGGAGACGTCTTCCTGATTTTCTTGGAGTCGTCACAAATCCACTGCTCACAGCACTTCCCTGCCATCTTAATCAGCTTTGGGTTTGGGCACCAGACAAGGGGAGGGCGTGAGTTTGTGCACATGGGAATACAGCCCACAGCCCCATTAATGCACGTGCAGTTGTATTTGCAGTTGGGCTGAAATGTGTCCCCATTGTTATACCTGACTCCATTGAGGACACATCCTACACCGACAATCTCTGAAAGGAAAGAAAAAGAGAGAAAGACACACAGAGCACCATTAAAATACTGCTGGCAACAAACAGCGTTGATGTGCTTCTTTACCGAGCTGCTCCCTGAGCTAACGGAGCCAACGAGGAGACACGGCTATGCTGTGGGGCAATGTATTCACCGTGATGCTGAGCCAAATGTGGTGACACCATCTAGGAAACTGTTTTCATTCTGAATCACAGCAAAAAAATGAGTCTTTTAATGCTTCATGGAAAAAAGAAGTTAGAAAATAAAACAAATTTTATCCACAAATGCTCACTTAAAAAATCATTTCATGGCATGCTGGTAAAAGTTATTCACAGTAGGAGCAATCAAAGTAATTAAAACAGATATTGAGTGAAATCTGAGGTTTTCAGGGACATGTGAGACAACTACATGGAGTTGCAAGTATGACACAGCTCTTCGCAACACCTGTACTTGTCTGAAGCAGAAGGAGGAGGACAGCCAAGGTAGCAAAGGAGCACCTAAAATGGCTGGATTCCTATATTTAGGCAGCTAGATCCCACTCAGTTTATCACAGAACAATTTTCTTGGAAAATGAAGTAACATATTATAAAACCATGAAAATTAGTATTTTATGTATATTTTTAAATAAATGTCACAAAAAATCAAGCTTTTTGATTGCCTGTGAACAGGAATCACATTGATTCAGGAAATAAGACACAAGTTGTATAAAGCAGCAACTTTTTTGTTTCAAATATATGGACAGTTATTTGGAACCAGTGGCAGAAATCTTCTAATGGAAAATTCGAACTTCAGTTTCTTGTTTGGTCACATGGAGGCAGTGCGCACACACCCATCAGGTTGCTCAAGTTTTAAGTTTGGTGGGAAATGGAGCTGCAATGTGGCTGCTTCAGGGCCAACACAAATTGAAATGCTGGATTAAAATTCTGCAAAGGCTTCCTATTTTTAGAATGGGCTGAATGAAAACACCAAACGCAAATCCCTGCTTCTGCGCAAAAATGAGACTTGTTGGAATTTGAAGCACAGATCCAGATCTCCAGTTTGTGCTCAGCTCCGATTTTGATAATGCTTCAGCGTTTGTGTTGAAGAGACATCACTCAGTGCTGGAGCCGGAGCTGAGGATTCAGTTAAGCTTCTAGGTGTGCACACGGATTATGACAGTTTAAGGAAATGCTGCATTTCCTAGTGTTTTGCTAACAGCATGTCCCTCCCGGACTGTGTTAACTCAGCCTCCTGCAGGTCTCATATGTAGAATCATAGAATCATGGAATCATT